TGAAGAAATGTTCCTACTGTTTTTATTTTAATAGGTGAAGAGGATCATATGAACCTTTCACAGGGTAAATGGGTTGGCCAGGCAATTCTGGCTTCTTGTGGGATCATGCTCTCCACTCCAATGTACAAATCAATTACATTATTTACATGCTGAGAAAACACATTAACTTTTAAAATTAACAGCAGCAGCCTGGTCTTAAAAAAATGTTTAAAACCCACTCTTAAACCATTACTCCAAATTGCAGCTAAGTATGAAACATCCATTTACAGCCAATTACACACAACTTCTATCATGCTCTGGAAGACATGTATATGCAATAGGAATATTAAAAGCCACAACTCTAGGTGAAATAGGAAAGATTTAAAACCTTCCAAAATATGTCTAGGGAGAAATGCAGTGAACCTTGTAACTTGACAGCAGGCATCTATTGAAAGTACGTACAGCACATAGGTAACCTTTGGCCTTACGTATCAAAGGAGAACTGCTACAATCCAAATTCCAGGGACATCACCTATTAAAATGATTGATTCTCAAAAGTTTCTTTCATAGGTTAAGAATAATAAGAGAATTAAGCTTGGGGTGAAAAGTGACTCTTCCAGAATCACAAAGCCCATAATAGAACCTCTTCTGTCTCCAGTGATGAAAAATCTAAAAATCTGCATGAAATCTATTGAGGACAGACAAAGGCAAACTCACTTAAATCTTAATGTTACAGGTAGTCCTGCTATAGCTGTAGGAACAGTTTTCAGTTGAACTAGTTGCACAGCTGGGATGCAGGAGATTTTGCACAAGGTTAAAATTAATACCTCTATTCAAGCCCTTCAATGTAATTGCTTATTATGGCATGTTCCACTGAAACACTTATTCACAGGATGCAGTTCTTCTTACTTTGGAAATGAAGGTTTCCAGTAGAGAGTTGTTCCTTTTAAAATGTTCCTGTCACACAGCAGGACTTCAGGATACTTTGGTAATTTAGATTCCAGATGAAAATAATAGTTTATGGTCAAGTTCTCAAAGAACAGGGAATACTGAAGAGAAAGATGACATTCTTTTCAACTGTGCATGTGTGTTCATATGTAACCCTAACTAATATGTTAACTGGCAGCTGCAGAGAAGAATTAGTAGGATTGCTTAAACTCCAGCTTTATTCATCCTGTTGGTCAGGATTCCTTGGAAGTTTGCAGTTATAAGCCAGAGTGGTATGAAAAATTTTCAGCGTAACTCCTCTTGCTATGAATATCTCTTGTTATTGCTGTTCAAAGAGCATTTATCTTCCACATAGGCCATCTAGATGTATAACAACTTACCTCCTGTTGTAAGCCTTTCTCTCTGGTTTTGAATTGAAATTTTCAGTGTTTTTTAACCTTTAAGAGATGAGTAAAAAACAAAGTTTACTGTCTGAAAGTCTAATAGTCTCCTCTGACCAGAAGACTACAGTGGGGCAGTAACTTGGGTTATGGACTATTCTCCTGTCCAGAGGAAAGCAAATCCACGCTCAGGGATGTATTACTCTCAGCTAAGTGAAATTTAAATACCATTAGATGACATTTGAAAATGTTCTTCATACACGGAAAACTAACAATGGAGAGCAAAAGTGTTGGTGGGAAGATATATTGTCTACCAGTGTGTATTAATATCAGAAGCCTATCCCCCTATCTTCCCACGTTTTTGTTCCACTAAATTACAAAAACAGCCAATGACCTGCTTGAGAAATGAAATATAAACCAGATGTTTCCTGAGCAAAGACAACTTGTGTTTCCCTTTACACATCATCTTCTGAGAGGCAGACCTACAGTGATTGCCTATCTGACATCATTCCCTATGTTGACTTTGGGCTACTCAGAATCTTTCCTTTCCTTTACCTTCCAACTCAAATACAATATTACAGAGAGATCCCATGGATCTACAGTCATCTGTAGAGTGTGATACCTACTGAGCTGTTAATTGGAGTGGGATACAGGAGAGGCTCAATCATCATCTAACAGAAATGCTTCATTCTTTTTATTCAAAGCACCCTAAATTTACAACAGAGCACTCACAAGAACAAACCTTGAGCTCCGTTTTTAGGCAAGCTGGTGGTAACAGAAACCTAACTTTCAGATGTTACATTAACAACGAATATGGGAAGATGGCTTTTTTTTTTTTTTTTTTTAACCCTGTGCACCAGAATTCATGATTCATAATGACTTAGAACATTCACAGCAGGTAAAGTTCTGTTCAAGGTATCCAGAAAAGTTCATAAAATGCATATATAATTTATACAAGATCAGTATTTCATCAGTCATGAATACAGCTCTGATGCTTTATGAATGTCATTACAGCCAAAGACGGAAAAATACCAACACTTTCTTTCTCGTTGTAATCTCCCATTTGGACAAGAATCCACATAAAGCTGGAACAGCTTTTTCTTCCCTAGAAATACAAGATAGGTGTAGTAGTACATACTTAAATAAAGTGTCAGTGCATATTTATGTCACTATTTAGGTTCCCTGGGGACCTAAATTTAACAGAAGATCTGATGTTTCATTCATCTCACATCATTGGTTAGTTGCTTGTGAATAGAGGAAAAGCTGTTTCAGTAGCTACTGTTTAATCAAATATGTTTTAATTTGGAAAGTTGTGTACAGCACAAGAAGCTGTCTGTGCAATGGTTTTAATAGGGAACAGGAGCAAAGGCCATGTATTCTATACTCTTAGTGTGAGGTCTGTAGGAAATCAAGTTTTCAGCAAGATTGACAAGAGAGCCATTCAGCCTCTGGAACGCTCAGACTTTCTGTTTCAGCCCACTGCAGACAAACATATACTATGCCTTGATGACAAATAACCATAATGACAAAGATGCAATAATGAATTTATGAATATAAAAATGCTTTTACTCTTTCTCCTGCTTTCATTAAAGACTAAGCAAAACTATGGATTGGTTGAAGAAAAAGGATGAAAAAAAAGTTACCTCATTGGTGTATGACTGATCTCTGTGCACATATTCAGCTCACTAGGAACACATTTATTGTAGACCTTGAAACTCAAAGTTTTAAGGTAGGTTTAAAATACAGATAGGGTTTGTTCTACTGTGATACAGAGGCCAGTTTTTCAGAAGGGATTTGCTACATAAAGTCTAGAATAGTTTGTTTGCATGTGCACAAAAATTATAGGAAGATAAAAAGAATTATACTTCAGAACAATTCTCTGTCAATGTTCTTTATCTGTTAGAGAAAAAAAAATTGACAGCTAAATTTAAAATTCATTGAAAATCATCTACCACTGTGATATTCAATGAATTAATGATCTCCAAGTCAATGACAGTTGAAAAATGCCAGAACTGCAGGCAGCAAGCTCTTCAGAATACACGGAATCCTACTTAATTCTCATGAATCCAGGTTATTCTTTCAAAAACCTTTAAAAAATAAAATGGCCCATGTCATCAGCTTGTCATTTCTGACCTGCCCAGCATGGCCACTCCTAAACCTGAGAAACAGAACAAGAGCACTACATGGATAGAATAATGATTTATTGGAAACAAATATTACCACCAAGTACCAAGGCAATAACTTAAGCTGTTTATTTTTTAACAATACAAAGCTACTCCATTTCAAGATTTGTCCACAAGAACAGGAGTAGATTTACTAATTATGCAGAATATTTTAAATACCTGAGATTGAGTGCCTCTCACTTTTTATGCACTCCATCCTCCACCCCTACCCTGCCCCTCACTTAGGTGCTGCAAATTTAGTTTCCCACTCAGCTGTGCTTTTAGTGGATTACCATCCAAAATTACAGTTTCATTCTTGACACCAGCATTAGATTTAAAAATGCAAGCAATCCCAAGTTTCACATCAAGTTCATAAGTTCATTCAAATTCAATTGCAGGCATCCAGTTTAAAATTAATTCCAATTTCAATTTGGTATCCAAGCTGCCTTATGGATATGGTTACTGGCTCTGAAGATACAATTTATTCCCCTTAAATCCAACATAGAAACCAATTCCTCTAGCTAGACACAGCTAATGGTTTTACTTTTCATACAGGAGGACTGAGATAATGCAAGGCTTTAGGCACAAGCCCTTTCAGATCAGAACTTAAAGCCATCACAAGGAAGCTTAGTAACGCGGCACTCTGGTTCCTACTTCTAGTAATTCCTAATTCTAGTGTAAGAATTCAGCATATTTTAGGTTTATAGCAGGCAGACATTTTAAGAATGACAAACTTGGATAGCAAAAGTATTTCTCCTAAGCAATGCCAGTTCCATTATCCAGTTTCAGTAGGAAGCCACCCTGCAAGGCCACAAAGGCAGATCCAGACATAACCAATGCGCAGAATTTTCAGTCCAAGGTCAGAGGTTTTTGCCAGCAAGTCTCTTGTTCCAGGATGTACTGTTTCAATCAACAGAACTTCTCCAGCAGACACAGGGCAATCAGCATAAGCAAAGTTTGGAGGACAAGGCTAAACTTATGTACTTTCCAAAGGATGCAGCTGATACTGCTATTACTGACTAGCTCTGCAGCTGGAGATAGAAATAGAGATTCAATAAAACTCAAGGCATAAACTACTAAACTACATAAACTGCAACTAAAAATTATTTCCAATATTAGAGGTAGATTTTATCCAATGTAATATGTAATAGCCACTCCTGTAAGTACAGAGCTGTAGAAATTAAATAATTCAGGTCAACTTTTACCTATGTGCTCCTAGAATAATTATGGCAAGCTTCTTGCATATCCTTCAAGAAAGTAAGCACACCACTATAAAGAGAAAAGTGGAAAAGTCATTCTTGCATAATTTAATCAAGAAAAACTATAAGCAAGATGAGAATTCCCACTATAAATGAAGGCCACTAAACAAATACAGAACAATTCCAAGTTCTGTTACATAGCAGCAAACCACTCCTTTAATCCTTCTTCAACAGACTACATTATTGAGTTTGTTTGTGTTAAGGCTATTCACATATGCTCTGAAACATGGATTTGTTGGTTTTGTTGCACAAATTTAACTGCCTGGTTGACTAACCAAAGGAATTTGAAAGAATAATAATAATAAAATAATAAGACAACTGCCATGAGAGCAGACAATATCAAGACTCTAAAATTGGGACTGGATGAGAGCTAGAAAGGTCAATAGATCCATTTCAGAAGAAAATAATTCTACCCATCATGCAAAGGCAGGTATGGAATACATTGAATACATTGCTTGAAACAGATTAGCTAAGAACAATTGTGCTGTCAAGCTTTATTTACCTTGGCAATCCAATTGACCAGCCTGGACAGAATCTCACCACCAGGATTATCAAAATAGTACATATAAGCTAGAGATGAGAGAGAAATTACCAGGAAGTTATTCAGCCATAGACTAAGTATTAGCTTTAAGACCACATGACAGAAGCTGTCAGTGTGCATGACTGAACCACCAAATACAACAGTCCTGCTCTAAATTCTTCTTTAAAAAGGCAAGTTGTACTGAAGCAGAATGTGAGGTAAGTATAGCCATTCCCAGCTAACCTCTGGGAAGCTAAGGGTGCCACAGTATTAGACTATTACAAACCATTTTAGGCAGACTCTGTTTTAAAATAAGGTTGTTTTTCAAGGACTAATCTCAGACAGGAGTCAATCTCTTGGCAAACTCTTTAATCTATACATCTGTCTAACATGACACTGTATCACTGCTGAGCTAACTCGATCATAGCCAGCATCAGCCTCTACCCAGTGGAACCAGCTGGCAGGAAAAGAAGTGTGGGCTGGGGGAGGAAGGGGGTGCATAAGGGGGGACAGAATGAAGTGGTCAGTAATCTATCCTTAGCTATCCAGCCCACCTGTTACAAAAAAGATTCTTAACAGTAGCACACTGCACTGGACATTTCCCAAACTTGCATTCATTTTTAAATATTGTAGTGCTCAGTATGTCCACTTTATAGTAACTGTTGGCTTAAAATGTCCAGTCTCCCTCTCTGTGCATTTTGCTAATAGAGACCTTCTTTGGCTACATGACTTGTGATCACATGTTCTTGATCTCTTACCTTTAGATCCAGTCTTGCCATCACTTCCAATTGTCAGACTTTGTAGCTTTTAACTCCGATAACACTAGGCTTTTCAGGGCACTGAGAAGCAGACACACTTTGAGCTGAAACAACCCAGATCTTCTGTCCATCAACATCCAGCTCTCGACATTCACGAATATAGACATACTGTACTCCAAGTTGAGGAGATATGTCAAAACAGTGCCAGCTTGATATATGATGAATTGACAAGTGAATTCCATTAAAAATATCAGCCCCTTCAAGTTATTTCTTATGCTTCTATAGGATTCAATCCTGCAGAGTAATAATTCAGCTATGTGAGTCTTAGCTGTGCGTGGGAAGAGGCACCCACACTGCTTTTTATGCTATACATATTCATGTCACACGAGGACTGCAAGATCTTTGATGAAGTGCAGCAGAGCAGCAGAATCAGTACACTCCTGGGATCCCTGGATGACTGGGTGACAAAAACTGCAAAAGAAATAAAAAGCTTGAAAGGATACGTCTCTGTTGGAGAGAGGATAAGGGTGTTTCACTTCCCAGTAGATTACTTTTTCACCATCATATGTTTCTTTATATAGTTCTACAGTCAAGAAAAGAAGATTGTTAGGTATTTTTTTATTTCTTTTGCAATAGAACCATACATGGCATTAAGAACTGCTGAGATTCCCAACAGAAATTTATTATACACATAACCCTTATGTGAAAATTGATACATATGCAAAGTTGTAGCAGTAGAAGACAGCAGAAAGGTTGTCCAGGAACCAAACAGCCAAAAATAAGTGTCCTCTTTTTCTTCTGCTATGGAATTTATTGATAAAAAAACCCAAACAAAATCCCCAAAGTACAAAACCGGAACAATTCTGAGGTCTGGCAAAGTCAAATTCCTTTTGAGATAGTTAGCTTTCCATCTCAAAGCTTTTTCCTCACCTACACATCTTCTGAATAATTCTCAGCCACAAGTACAGTATGCTTTTTCACAAGCATGTCATTATCCTTGGTAAATGTTTCTGAGTTAACATGGGACTAGGATGAGTACTGCTTTCTAAAACCTGAAAAAGTCTTACATAAGGAATTAATCAAGTTTGGAAAAGCTGTTGGGAATGACACAGCAGTATATACAGGTAACAAAGAAGAAGAAGCTTAAGAAATTTATGAACCTTCCTTACACCACCCTCGGCCTGCCTGGAAACTCAATCAGAAGGCAACTGAACAGGAAAGAAAATAAAATTTAAAATATCCAAGAGCAGACCCCAAAGTACAGCAGCAACTCAGCCAGGTAGTAACACGGCGCAGAGGAGAAAAATTAGTTCAAATCAAACCACATAGTTGAGTTTGAAAAACTGCCTGCTGTACAGCTTCTTCCCTGCCATGATGGAGGCAACAGAAGCCAGGGTACTCAGCAAGGATAAATTCCTGTCTGCCCAGGAATGGTCGTTGCATGGGTGCAGGTAAAAAGGGTGTGATCTAGAAAGTGGTTCACATTAACAGAGTGGTGTCCTGCTTTAGAGCAGATATCTGCCTAGAGTTGCTATATATCCCTCATGGCTAACACATAGTCTGCCACACCACTTCCAGTGGTTTTGAAAATCAGGCTGGATCATCCTGATAATCTCATTGCTAAGGCAAGAAGAGTGTCACAGACAGGAGATTCCTTCCCTATATAACATATTCCAAACTAGGCTTCCATTACTATGTCCTGCAAGTCAGCTGCCTCCCACGAAGAGTTTCTCTTCTCCAGGTTGGAGTGGTACTGGATACACAACACTTCTTGTAATAAGCCACAGCACTATGCTGTCCACCAGAGGTCACTGGAGCATTGGTTTATTAGCTTTACTTTCTTTTCTAACTGCAGTGCTTTCCTTTTTCAAGGAATTAAGTCACCGTTTTAAAGACCTGCTTTAGCAGTCAATTATTACCATTAAATTGTTGGGAAGTACGAACTCATTTTGGATTGTATGACAATGAAGAGTAACAAGTTTCAATATTGTTCAGGCCCAACCATTTTGTATCATGCCACAGAAGCATGTCTCTAGTCAGGCTTTCAAAGAGTTTTGCTGATGAGAACTAGAGGATAAAGTTTAGCTCCTCTTATTCTCAGTGCAGAAGCAGTTACCTTTTCACGTAAAAAGACAACTACCTCTACTCTGGTCACATTTTTATTTCAATGCCAGTTCAGCAGAGAACTCTCCTTTAGAGTGCCATTATTATTGCATGGCTGTAAGAGCAACAAGGAATACCAACAGTAAAACAAATACCAAGAAGGCTCTGAGTGGAAGTTTTCTGGATTTTCTCCCTAAACATGAAAGGGGAAAAACCAAGCTTATATAGTTAATATTGAAAGTGTTGGCTAGCACTGTGTCACCATATGTATAGCTTTACAGAACAAGAAAGCTTGTGTCAATTTTTAAGCCAAAAGGAAAGCATAAACATTATGTTTATACTCTTCAAGAGTTCACTTCTGTGAAACACTGGGCTTGAAGTACCAGCACAAGTATAAATTCACAAATGAACATATCATGGTCAGCAAGGATATAAACACCAGCTCTGCAACATTATCAAGTTTTTAGTGTAAGGGAGTAGTTTCCCCAACTGCTTCCTTTCTTTTCGCTAAGAAGGCATTACAAAAAAAAAAAAAAAAAAAGTATTTGTTTATGGATTCAGTTCTCCTAAATGTACTTAAATCAAAGATTACTGAAGTAACTTAAGATAACATTTATCTTTTGTTGTCTTTCAAGTAAATGGTTTACTGGATGCCTACATCAGCTGAATCATTGTCCTGGCACTATTGACTTAAGGCGTGTTAACATCATATGGATACCCAGGTTCAACTTCCTTTTACAAAGACAAAATTAAACACAACTAAATTAGTTATTCCTTTCTTTGTAAAAGCCCAAAGTCACCAACTATTCTGTTCACCCATTTCTGATTGTAAAAGGTGCAGAGAACATCTAGTGCTTTCAGTAAAAGACATTCCATCATGCATCAAACTGGTGCAAGCCACTGCACTGCTCTGCTACAATATGCAAAGGTGCACAAAAAGAATTGTCTTAATTTCTCTGCAGAACATCTACTAAAAATTTACCTAGGAATTACAACAGCTAGAAGCTGCAAGGTGCTCCCGCATAACAAGTGATGCCAATTATGTGCTTAAAACAACATGGAAAAAATTCACTCCAGAAAGAAGCTACATGGTCATTAGCTGTTAGCTGTTCCATGTCAGTGTTTACTTATATATTAGCAGGGTGCAACTTTATTCCAGAAAGATACTTAAGTCTGGCTGCAAGTCTTTAGATCAGCAACTTTAAAATACCTTTGAGGAAAGTTCTAGTGGAAAGAGTCAATGTGGACATAAAATTTGCTTTTAAACTGCCTAGATGACCTTACCTTTCACAGACTTATCCCACTGCTTTCTGTAATCTAAATTCATATAGACATCCATACACAGTTTTGGGGGGCAGTCATCAAGAATACAGTAGATTTTATATTCATAAAGTCCTGATTGCTGTGGAAACAGAATACAGAGAGGAAAAGTCACACAGGAAAGGGAAGTACTCTGCAGCAGGGAGAACAGCTGAAGGAAGTTAGGTGGGGCACATACTACAAATTTGCTCAAGAGCTGTGAAAGCAAGTGTTCAAAAAACAATGCAAGATTCAGTCTTTAACCTCTCGACTTTTTGATCTATACATGAAAGTTTAAATTCAGACAGGCTGACCTGCACAGCACAATGGTTGTTCCTTCCCTTACACCAGTACCCTTTTACTTCACAAGTAGTTCCAAATGGAGCATGTTTCTTCACATACACATGCCCCTTTCATCTCCAGTGCTCAGCGTGGACTAGATCCTGCTCACACTGAAGCTTACCAGAAGCATTAAATTGTGGCAAGGTCTCCAGACCCTATATAATGTGTTCAAGAATCAGCCGTTTCCAGGAGGTTACCAAGTACTGCGTGACTTGAAATGATCAGATGTGCTTATACTACAGCCTGGGATACACGAATGCCTTATTATGCCTGCCTTGAATATCAATCAGCTACTTTCTTTCTGAAATGTCTGCACCAAAAGGGTGGGGTGCAAGGTATCTCCTGTGTTAATGCTTTTAATGTTTCCCTCAGCACATGGGAGCTCCATCTATGCCTATAGAACAATGGTTGTTCTATTGTTAGTACAAGTTCAGGACTAAATTAAAACAATGAGAGTATTTTGAATGTATGGTGTAGGTGTGAAATTTGAGCATTGCCAAGAAAAGGGAGGGAAGGATTTTACAGCATTTTGTTAGTGAATGGTTGATTTTTCTTCTTCCACTCCCCTTCACAAAGCAACCCTAGAAGATTATTTGATGTACCAGAAGATAATAATGGGACCAAGAAGCTTAAACTCCTCGTCTTCACTGTGGCTTCACTGAAGCATCAATCCCTAACTTCAAACCTGAACTGTTAAGCCTCATGCACTCATGTCATCTTTGTGAAAGGCATCAACATTTTTATTTTCACAAGAAAACGTAATTTTGAAAACATCACACCTGAAATTGAGCCAAGACCAAACATATCCCAAAGCTCTACATTGGTACTTCACAGTTTCTTTAGCTCAAGCACTGTTTAATTCCAGGTCACTAGGCAGAAACTCTATGTGGATTATCTTGCAGATATGCATATTTACATTAAATGTCACAGAACAGCAAACCACAATTCTCCTCACTTCTCTAGGAATTCAGAAACAAAAAGTCTTACTTCTTCATGTCATTGCGCTGCTCTTCCACTGAAGATTACAAAAAAGCCTTTGTATTCTTTTCCTGCACTTTAAGTACAACTGCATCTTGAGAGGTAACAAGCTCGCCCAAAACTCCAGTTCTGCAGTCAACATGCAAAGCTAGCTGCTCCTCAGCTCACCCACTGGTTTTTTGCATCTTTTTTTTGATAGAAGAAAGCTGTGCAATCATTTTCTCATTTAAACTCTCAGAACTTGCCTCAGAGATCTTGCATAGAGTTGTGTTCTTTGTACCTTAGTAAGGACACACTACAATTACTGTCATATCATTCAGAAGCCACTAAATACAGAGTGCACGTGCTGATCTCTTAACAGATGGGATTCTGCCTTACATTCAAAGGTAGGTTCCCAAATGGAAAAGTGGCTTCATCCTGGCTCAAACCAGGACACTCACAATATTAGTTCAGTCATTCTTACATCTGCAGCCTTCAGGTTCTTAAACTGTAGCTCAAAACAGGCCACGAAATGATCTGTTCGTCTCTCCCAATCTATTTGTTCCACTGCTAGACAAATCGTTTCATACATCGTCAAATATCTTCTACTAAAAAAAAAGCTAGTATTTTGATAGCAGTATGGAATAACAAATCATTATCTGAAAGGTGAACAGTAGATGTTGCAGGAGGTAAGGCAGACAAACTTTCAATAAAAACAGCAATTTACAAAAAAAAAAGAAAAGTTAAAACAAGAGTGAAATGTTTCAGAGGCATATCAGCAGGAGAGTCAGTCGGTGGGCTGGAGCACAACACAGAGCAGGAAGGCCCAGGAGATCTATTTGTGTAGCCTGCAGAGAGGTGGAAAGAGAAGGTAACAGGAAATACAATTGCTGCCTTCAGCTTCCTGGACTACCACTGCTATAGTGGACTTGCAGTTCATTAAGTGTTAAAAACCAATTTTTCCAGTGACAACTTTAGGCAACTGGAAGATAAAACAAAGAAGAGACCTATTTCCCAGCATCCTACCTAGTCCATCCATCTCCTCTAAATTATGGTCACCATAGAAACCAAACCAAACATGAGCAGTTACCATGTCCATGCTGTAATCAGTGACTATTTACCACCAAAAAACTGAGGTGTATGAAGTGACTTTTTTTTTCCCCCAAAAAAAGAAGAATATTTTTCCTGCCTTTCACACAGACCTGTGTTTGCTTTACTTGCCTTTTTTTCAGCCCCTAACATGCCCCTGCCTGAAAAGGATTTTCAGTATACAAATCCAAAATTTTCATGCAGAGCACAGTCTGGAGTCCAGCTTTATAAGGAGCTGCGAGGTAACTATGATCACAGAGCTAAAGAAACAGGATATTTATGTGGATCTAAAAGTCATTATTAAATAATATATCGCTGTGATTTATGATTTAACAAACACTCACAAATCACTTAAAAGTCAGTTCTGAAAGCCTAAGCTTTTGGACTTCTTAAAAGAAGTAAGTCCCTCCGAAAAAAGGGGTGAATTTAATTTCGGTCCGTTCAGAACTACCTTTTGATGCTAGAAGGAGAAAGGTGGAAAGAGATATTTTGGAGAGAGGGAGAAGGAAGGGAAGCAGGAGCCCGCAGATGAGGATGCTGTAACGCAGGACGTGCTCAGGGGCGGTGCAGGGACGGGTCCCTGCTTCACCACACACATCCCTCAGAGGATGTGAGCGCACGCAGAACAAACACCCCGCTAGACCCAGGACTGCTCCTGTGGCCGAATGCACCTTCCACCAGGAATTTCTCCAGCCGCCAGCTGTTAACAAGCTTTTAAGAGTCTCACATTTCGCAGGTTCCCCCTGTAAGAGCCTGCAGGAGCGGTGTTCACCGCAGCAGAGCAGCTTTCTCCATCAGCAGTTAATGGCATTACCCTGAAAGCTGCTTTCTGGGAGCGTGGGGAAATAGAGCCGAGGCCGGTAGCGCCGGGACAGGCAACGGACCTCAGTCTGACCTGTGTGGGGAACCGGCAGCTCCGGACGGGGCCGCGCCGGCGTTTCCCTGACCGGGCAGCCAGGCTCCCCG